CCTCTCTCTCTCTCTCTCTCTCTCTCTCTCTCTCTCTCTCTCTCTCTCTCTCTCTCTCTCTCTGTGGTAGCCCCCTCCCTCCCTCTCTCTCGCACTCTATGTCTCTCTCTCACCGTCATAAGAATAAATGGAACCAAAATTTCTCTCTCTCTCTCTCTCTTTCTCTCTCTCTCTCTCTTGTGCGAGCTCTTAGTCTCATTGTTTTGGTTACCTTAGGGCTGCGTTCCCCGCGTCCACACGGTAGACAATTGATCCGTTGAGTTGAGTTGGCAACCCTAAGATAGCGGTATAGTGGGCTTTGGCGTCTGTGTCAAGGTGTCGCATTTTTGGCGGCGGGCGACCAGGACGCAAAGTGGGTTCTTAGGGGCAAAAAAAAATTGGGGGACCGGTCGTTGGCAAAATTGCGGACTACCTACAGCTAGCTCTGGTAGAACAGGGACTTTTGGAAAAAGGAAGGACCGGTCCTCAGGTGGAAGCAGACCCCCAAAAGAAGTGGGGGACGTTGGACCAGTCCTCGAGTGGAAGCGGACCCCAAAAAGAAGCGAGGGCATGTGAACTGCAAAAGGGCTCTCAGGACCAGGCGTTAAGGCCCGTCTTATCAAAACAGGGAGGTCAGGCGCAATGAAACAGGTGTTTTGCAAGGGGCAACTTTGACGATTTTCTGTGCACGGAGGAACGCACATAAAAATCTGAAATTTTGAGAATCCATAGATGAGGTCCTGTTCCTTCCAGGAAAAAGATTAGAACATTTTCAAAAAATCACTTAGACCGCGAAATAATCGTCACGCAGATTTGGAACATTTTCCATTTTTGCCACTCAACCATGTTTGGGCCAACTGCAAAAGTACTCCAGATACAGTAAGTTTTCACGCTCAGAAGAATGCGTGAAAAAACCTGAACATTGGAGTACTCGTAGATTTTGTTGTGATCTTTCTAGGATAAACGCTAAATGAATTAAAAAACACAATTCCAACTGTGAAATAGATTACGGTCGCAATTTGACCCATATTTAAATTTTGCCATTCAGCCTCCCTCTCTCTCTCTCTCTCTCTCCCCCCTGGTAAGCCCCCCCCTCCCTCTCTCTCTAGCTCTCTTTCTTTCTCTCTCTCACTCATATCAACAAATGGATCAAAACTCTTCATCTCTCTCTCTCTCTCACTCATATCGACAAATGGAACAAAACTCCATCTCCATCTCTCTCTCTCTCTCTCTCTCTCTCTCTCTCTCTCTCTCTCTCTCTCTCTCTCTCTCTCCCCCTCCTTTGCGCTCTTAGTCTCATTGCTTTGACTACCTTAGGGCTGCGTTCCCCGCGCCCACGTGGTAGACAATCTGCCTTCAACAAGGGTCAATTCGCAGCCCCTGAGGGTTGCGTTTCCCCCCCTGAGACATTTCAACGTCAATCAAATTTCAAAGTCGGTGGCCGTCGGGAGGGTGGGCATTTTGAGGTTTTGGGGCCTTGCAAGGGCCAGGACCGCGTAGGACCGGTAGGCTGTAGCTGAGCGTAGGAGGCCGAGGAGGCTGCAGTCCTTTTTCGAAATTGAAACGGTGCGGGTCCACTTTTCTCGAATAGCAGAGTTCCTCGAATAGAAAATGTATACGTTGTATTCGAATACCTGTACCCTTTCTATTCGGATTTCGAAAAGAAAAAACTCTTGTATTCCCATAAAATTACTTTTTTGTTGGAGGTCAGCACCTGCCCTTGTGC